GGAGTCTGCTTCTCCCTCTGACCCTCCCCCCCTCATGCTCTCTCCATCTCATTCTCTCTCTCAATAAATAAAATCTTAAATTAAAAAAAAAAAAAAGAAAAGAAATCCTGGTCTGAGGGGAAGACAGCTCTGTTCCCATCTGAGAGAGGGACCCTGATGACAGGCCCAAGTGGGAAGTCTTGGTGAAGAAGAGGAGGAATGGGTAACTTGGGGACTCCCCAGGGTGTGAGGGATGGGCTGGAAACCATATGCCCTGAATCCATGGGAAGCCAAGCTGCGAAGCCCAAATCAGAACTCCACTGGACTCCAAAGGCCTTTGGGAACCAGGCACTGCAGCCGTGGGGAGGCACAGAGCCTGGCTGGGGAATAGGACTGGGGGGGGGGGGGCAGTGTGCAGGTCCCTTGGAGCCCCCTGCCCCATGCCCTACTCTGCTGAGTAGCCCTGACTCTGCAGGGACTGGGGTGACCCTGTTCATCGCCCTGTATGACTATGAGGCCCGGACAGAGGATGACCTCACCTTCACCAAGGGTGAGAAGTTCCACATCCTGAACAACACGTAAGTAACCAGGCCACCCGGCTCAGGACATGGCCAGGGCTGGTAGCAGGACCCAGAGAGGAACCTTACCTGGTCCCTCAGAAAGCTCCAGCCTAGCTGGGGACACAGATACAGGACAGTAACAATTCTGAGTAATCAGTAGGGGGAGCATGAGGACATATGGGCCCAGAAAGAACACTAAATATGGTCTCGAGGCTAGTGATCAAGGCAGGCTTCCCGGAGGAGGTGATTTCTAAGGTGAGACTAGAAAAAAATCAATAGATGTTGAAAGAAGAGGTGAGAAAAGAGGAAGAGAGAGTGAGAATGAGAATAAATGTGACTTCCGGAAACCACCAAGTGGTCATTCAGTCTAGGTGGATCATAAAGTATGAGGTGTAGAATGGAGAGAGCAGAAGCTAGAGGGGCAAGTGGAAACGGATTCTGCAGGGTTTTTTAAGCCATGTTGAAGAATCTAGATTTTATCCAGAAGGCAATATATAGTCACTGGTGGTATGGGAGGATTTCAGTGGGGAAGTAACTGAGTTAGCTGTCCACTGCCCACCCAAATCCCAGCCCAGCTGAGGAGCCAAAGATCAAAGCCAAGAGGCCCACACATCCCCAGACATGTTGCTTCTGCAGGGAAAATTCTCCTGGGGTAGCTTCAGTGGCTGAGAGCAGAACAGACAAAAGCCCTGGGGGGTGTGTGTGTGTGTGTGTCTAAGGTGAGGGGCTGGCAGGCTCCACCTGACCCTTCGCGTGGCCCTGCCTGGCCCCAGTGCTCCAGGGGGCTGGGCTGCCATTGACTCCCTGTGTCCTGTGTCTGCAGTGAGGGTGACTGGTGGGAAGCCCGGTCTCTCAGCTCCGGACAAACTGGCTACATTCCCAGCAACTACGTGGCCCCTGTGGACTCCATCCAGGCCGAAGAGTGAGTAGGGGGTGGGAGATGGCTATCCCTAAGGACAGGACAGGACCCTGGAGTCCAAGGCCACCTCTGAGTCACAGCCCCACTCAGCCTATCTTCTTACCTATATTTCTGTGAGGTCATTGTGAGAATAAGAGAAGAGAATAATGATGTTTATGACAGTAAATATTTATGTAGCACGTCCTATGTTCTGGGCACTATTCAAAGTGCTTTCTGTGTATTAACAGAGTTAGGAACTAATATTATCCTGCTTTATGAATGAGGCAAGTGAGGCACAGAGAAATTAAATATCCTACCCAAGTTCACATGGCTAGTAAGTAGGTGGAGTTGGTATTTGAACCCAGATAGTCTGGCTGCACTTGCAGAGCATTATACATATTGACTCTCAGCGATAACAACAGCATAATGAGCTATTAAAAAATTGTAAAATGCTAAACAAATGCAAGGGGATATTACTTAGAATTAATTCTGTTAAAGAGGCGCCTGAGTGGCTCAATCAGTTATGCATCGGACTCTTTTTTTTTTTTAAGATTCTTTTATTTATTTTAGAGAGAGAGAGCATGAGCAGAGGAGGGGCAGAGGGAGAGAGAGAGAGAAGCAGATTCTCCGCTGAGCGCAGAGCCCGATCCCATGACCCCAGCGGAAACCAAGAGTTGGACACCCAACCGACTGAGCCACCGAAGTGCCCAGCATCCGACTCTTGATTTCAGCTCAGGTCATGATCTCAGGGTCCTGGGATAGAGCCCTGCATCTGGCTCTGAGCTGAGCGGAGTCTGCTTGTCCCTCTTCCTCTGCCCCTCCCCCCACTGGCACACACACACTCTCTCTCAAATAAATAAATAAAATCTTGGAAAAAAAAAAGAATTAATTCTGTTAAGGAGACAGGGAATTATCATTCATGGTGTACCATTATAACCTGAGATATGATGACGGGGACTTTACCCACCTTGAGTCATTTAATTCTCATAGTCTATTGATATTATTGTTGTCCCCATTTTACAGATGAGAAAACTGAGGCTCATAAAAAAAACTTTTTAATCTATGTGCACATATACATACATGTATGGGAAAAGAAAAGATTGGAGAGACTGCAGAGTAGGAGTCACCAGGACGTGGTGACTAATTTGCCATTGTGTTTGGGGTGTGGGAGGAATCAAGGGTGACCCAAAGTCTTCTTGAGGAACTGAGTGGGTGACGGTGCCATTTGCTAAAGCGGGAAACACAGGAGAAGGTATAGGTATCTGGGTTCTGGTGGGGGGACTTGTTGGGTTGAGGTTCGCAGAGAGGAACACCCAGGTAGAAGACACTGCCAACAGTTGGATTAGGCTGTACTTTGTATGAGAGGGGCCCAACCCAGGCCAAGCAAGGCCACTGAATTAGCCCAGAGGGAGGGGCAACTTTTCCTAGTTGGCACTAAGGCTCTTTGTTTGCTGTGGCTCTTGCAGAGGATACCACTGGGCTGGGGTGGAAATCTGGGACTCTCCAGAGTGGAGGTGACAATTAAAGCTGCATGGGAGGGTGAAGGAAGGGGAGGAGAGTGAGAAAGAGATTGATTGGCCCTAGGACCCACCTTTGGAGAAAGCTGCCTCGAAGGAGAAGTTGCTGTTGGAAAACCAGGCCAAGCCAAGTCAGAACAGCCAAGAGGCGGGTGGAGGAGAGGTTGCAGGAAACTAGAAAGGGAGTGTCAGAGGCTGCCACTGGATTTGGCAATAGGGGTGACCTTGGTGAGTGATCTCTCTGTATGAGGTGGGGGTGGGGGCCAGACAGCAGAGCCTGGGAGGGAGTAGGAGGTGAGGAAGTGGAGACCCAAGTGTGAAGTGCTTTTTCAAGTGAAGGGAAGGTGAGAGATATAGCAGAATGTTGATGGCAAGTTAGGGCTTAGAACAGTTTTTTTGGAGGGGAAGGAAGAAATGGGGGCATATGTAGAGGTTGGTGGGATGGAGAGGCTGCAGGTAGGGGCGGGTTGGTAGGGGAGAGGTGTCCCTGAGCAGAGGGGAGTGGTTGGGGTCCTGAGCTCAGAGTGGGTGAGGCCTTCATCCAGGAAAAGTGGTAGGAGTCATGGAGGAGAGAAAGGGTGATGATGCAGAAGGTGGGAGGTATGGGGGGTTCAAGCTTGCATCCACAACTTAGAGGTAGTGTCACGAGCCCTGAGAGGCACTCACTGCCATGTCATGGTTAAGAGCAGTGTTGTGGTTAAGAGTGCAGGCCCTTGAGCAGACAACTTGTGTTCCTATTCTGGCAACATAGCTTAAGAGTGTGTGGCCTTGGGCAAGTTGCTTAACCACTAGGTATCTCCATTTCCTCATCTGTGTAGTGGGAGTTAATAATAGGACCTACCTCACAACATTGTTATAAGAACTAAATAAATACCGAGGCACCTGGGTGGCTCAGTCGGTTAAACATCTGCCTTCGGCTCAGGTCATGATCCCAGGATCCTGGGATCGAGCCCCATGTTGGGCTCCCTGCTCCGCGGGGAGTCTGCTTCTCCCTCTCCTTCTGCTGCTCCCCCTGCTTGTGGCTCTCTCTTTCTCTGTCAAATAAATAAATAAATAATCTTCAAAAAAAAAAAAAACACTAAATGAATATAAAATATGTATTAAAGCAGCGCATGACATAAAATAAGCACTGCTATTATTAAGTTAACTATTAAGGAAGTAATTACTATCATGGGTATGGGTGGGGGCAGGGCTTTGAAAAAACTTGGGAGTGTGTCCTGCCTACACAGTCCTTCAATAGTTCCTCCTTCCCCATCCTGCCTGCCCGCTTGGACACCCCTCCACTTGCCAATGCCTTCCCTGTTCCCCAAACTGTGCCTAGTACCCAGGTGTGGACTGGCCAATTTATTTATTTATTTATTTATTTAAAAGATTTTATTTATTTGAGAGAGAGAGCGCGCACGCACACACCCATGGTGGGGAAGGGCAGAGAGAGAGAGAGAGAGAGGAAGAGCGCACACATGCATAAGGGAAGGGGAGGGCGGCTTGGAGGGAAGGAGGGGCAGAGAGGGAGAGGGAGAAGCAGGCTCCCCACTGAGCAGGAAGCCTGACACATGGGACACATGACTCTGGGACACATGGCTTGATCCCAGGACCCTCCGGATCATGACCTGAGTCGGAGGCAGACGCTTAACCTTAATCGACTGAGCCCCCCCAGGCGCCCCAGACTGGCCAATTTAGTAATCAAAGGACATCTGAGTCTCCCGTGGTGCCTCCGGGGCCATTCAGTCTCCCCAGTGTACGTTCACAGTGGATTTAAGGCCACAGTTCAGTCCCAGGAAGAATATCCAAGACAGAACAGGAACGCTTGACACCTGAGGTTGAAGGCGAGACTTGTAAGAACATCCAAATTTCAGAGAGTGGAGGAAAAACAGCAGTCAGAGCCAGGCAGGAGCAGAGGGGGAGAGAGGCAGGAAAGGCTGTTGTTTGGAAGTCGCAGGGTAGGGGTGGTTGTGGGAAGAAGGATCTGAGAGATTGCCTGGGTGGTGGGAAAAGAACTAGGCTGAGCAGCAAAGAATTTCAGGTAGACCTCATCAACCAGTCCTGCAACAAGGTCACTTCCCCTCTCTGAGCCTCAGGTTCCGCATCTACAAAATGAGCCCACGGACGAAGCAGTAGTGAGATGCGTTAAGGAACTTGGTAGCACCCTGATGAGGTCACTAGCGACTGGGGTCTTAGCCATTTTAGTCGAAGAGAAACCCAGAGAGTGGAGAGGAGAAGCCTAACCTATTGGGCACCAACTTCGAGCCCAGCATTCTACGTTCCCCGTCTCTGTGCTTCTCATGATCAGGCTATGAAGCAGGTGTAGGAGCCCCGTTTCGCGAGTGAGGAGATTGAATCTTGGCTAGTGAGGTGGTTTTCCCTAGGAGGCTGAGTTGGGGGTTGAACTGCGTGTCTCTGACTCTTGCTGGCCCTTCCCAACAGGTGGTACTTTGGAAAGATCGGGAGGAAAGATGCGGAGAGGCAGCTGCTCTCCCCAGGGAACCCCCGGGGGGCCTTTCTTATTCGTGAGAGTGAGACTACCAAAGGTGGGGGCCTGGGAAGGGGCAACTGGGAGGCCCAGCTGTCAGGGTGGGGCTGGGGGCAGCGGTGAGGGGCTTGGGTCAGGGCCCGGGCCCAGACTGGGACAGGGGTGGAGGACCAGAGATACGACTGGGACTGGGTTCAGGGGGTGCGTGGCCATCCAAGTTTCGAGTCCCCAGGCATTTGGGCTTCTCGGGCTCTAAGATGGAGAGCGAGGAGGAAAGCAGACTTGAAGGTGACCCTTGCCCACAGGTGCCTACTCCCTATCCATCCGGGATTGGGACCAGGACAGAGGCGACCACGTGAAGCATTACAAAGTCCGCAAGCTGGACACGGGTGGCTACTACATCACCACACGGGCCCAGTTCGACTCGGTGCAGCAGCTGGTGCAGCACTACGCTGGTGAGGGCTGGCTTCTAGGGCTGGTGTGTGCTCTGGGTCCCTGAGCCGACCCGCTGAGAATTCGGCCCAGGGAGGGAAAGGGGCTCCCAAAGCTGTAGTGGCTGGGGCAGAACTGGAACCCAAGTGTGTGGGTTCCCAGCCCAGGATCCTGCCCCGTAGGATTCCAGAGGAAACAGGTGTGAGGCTGTCGACGGCCAAAGGGCGCCCCCTAATGTCTAGCGGGGCAGGAGGCCCAACAGACCTGACTTGGAGGATGGGCTGTAGGGTTGAGAGGAAGCTGGGAATCAATGCCCAAGTTTCTGCTTTAGTGAGTTAGGCCAAAGGTGAGGTCCATGGGAGGGTGAGGGCCTCATGTCCACACCTCTGTCTCGAATCCCGAACTCCATTTCTACCTGTCAGAGTCCCACCTTAACCTTGAAGGCCCAGCTGGAGGCCACCTCCTGTAGGAAGGACACAGGTCCCTGCAGGGATCATCTCTCCCTCTTGGTGCCACCTCCTTCCCTGGGCACCAACATGTTCACCTACTCAGTGGGTCAGGTTGCCTTCTGCCCCAGCCTGTGACCTCACCCGTTCCTAGTTTCTTTCCACTGATGGGGGAGGTAGGTGGGGGGAGGGGGGCGTTGTGTGTGTGCATGAGATGGGATGAGGAATGTGTGGGGTGTCCTGGCCTGCCTGTGACCTTCAACACCCCCCCCCACCACCACCACCAACCCCTGCTCCTCAGAGGTGAACGACGGGCTATGCCAACTGCTCACGGTGGCCTGCACCACCATGAAGCCGCAGACAATGGGCCTGGCCAAGGACGCTTGGGAGATCAGCCGCAGCTCCATCGCGCTCGAGCGCCGCCTGGGCACCGGCTGCTTCGGGGACGTGTGGCTCGGTACGGAGGTCCCGGGGGCGGGGCGAGGGCTTGGGACATCGGGGAGCCGGCGCTGACGAGCCGCGACCACCTGGCAGGCATGTGGAACGGCAGCACGAAGGTGGCGGTGAAGACCCTGAAGCCGGGAACCATGTCCCCGAAGGCCTTCCTGGCGGAGGCGCAGATCATGAAGATGCTGCGGCACGACAAGCTGGTGCAGCTGTATGCGGTGGTATCGGAGGAGCCCATCTACATCGTGACCGAGCACATGTGCCACGGTGAGGGGCGGGGTCAGGAGGCGGAGTCTGGGGGGCGGGACTTGGGGCGAAGTTCAGGTGGCTGTCTCTGGGGGAGGGACCTGAGTGGCGATCTGTGATGGGACAGGGGACTTGGAGCAGAGTCCGAGAGGGAGGCCGGGATGAGTGAAACCACGCGAGTCCTGGGAGTGGGGGCGGGTCCAAGTTTAGACTAGGCGGGGGCTGGGGGCGGAGCCTCGGTTCAGCTGGTGGGTGGGGCTTGGACGAATGAAGACCGAATCGGTGATGGGGAAGGATCTGGGGCGCAGTCTGAGTGGGGCGTGTCTAGGGGGACGGAGGAGGAGAAGAAACGAGCTGTGGGCAGAGTCTGGGTGTCTGTGAGAGCGAGTCCTGGGCAAGGGCGGGCAACAGGGGGCGGGGCCAAGCTCTGTGCAATGGGAACTGGGTAGGGGCGGAGCCAAGCGAGGGAAGGCTGGCCTGGAGCTGGGGGTAGTCTTGCTGCTGATTTTCTGAGTTCCTTTCCTCAGGTAGCTTGCTGGAGTTCCTCAAGGCCCGGGAAGGCCAGGATTTGACACTGCCCCAGTTGGTGGACATGGGAGCCCAGGTAAACTGGGACACCAGCCTTTATTTCAGACTGGCCTCCTATGAACCTCTACAAATCCCTGTGCCCTCAAACACCTGCCCCCTGGAAGTACATACAGTCCCATTCACTGGATCATCTGTGCGACCTGAGGCAGGGCACTGCCCGTCCCTGAGCCTCAGTCTCGTCATCTGGAAAGTGGGGTTTTCAAGTGATCTCTCACACAAGCCATGGTGTTCCCATTTCTCCATACCTTGGCCCCCCTAGGTGGCTGAGGGCATGGCCTACATGGAACGCATGAACTACATCCACCGAGACCTGAGGGCAGCCAACATCCTTGTTGGGGAACGGCTGGTGTGCAAGATCGCTGACTTTGGGCTGGCCCGTCTCATTGAGGATGATGAGTACAACCCCCAGCAAGGTGCCCTTCCTCTCTTCACCTTCCAAGAGCTTCCCAGGGCACCAAGGGGCTGTCACGGGGTTCCACATATTCAGGAACCATTCCCTCCACTCCCAGACCATCTGGGATACTCCCATCCTGATGTAGTAGAAGAGGCAACTCTAGGTTTGAATCCCAGCTCCTCTACTTACTAGCCAAGTGACCTTGGGCAAGTCACCTAACCTCTGTGAGCTGTTTTTTTCTCATATATAAAATGAAAGTATTCAGAGAAAAGTAAGTCAACAGATATTTATCAAGCACCTACTATATGCCAGGCACTACTATAATTCTCAAGGGAAAAACAATAAAGTGTAATGGTGTGAACTCTGTAGCCAGAATGTCTGGGAGAGAATCCTAGCCACTTATAATGAGCTATGTGATCTGGGAAGTTGCTTAACGAGTCAGTGCCTCCTTTTCCAAATCTGTACAATGGGGATAATAATAGTATCTACCCCACAGGGTTTTTGTGAGGTTAAATGAGTTCATGCCTATAAATCACTTTAAAATAGTGCCTGGCAGAGGCATCTGGCTGGCTCAGTCGGTCGGAAGAGCATGGAACTGTTGATCTCAGGGTTGTGAGTTTTTGAAAGTTTATTTACTTCAGTAATCTCTACAGCCAACATGGGGCTTGAACTCACGACCCCAAGATCAGAAGTCACATGCTCTTCTGACTGGGCCAGCCAGGCGCCCCAACATGCCATTCTCTCAATCCAGCTGTTCCTAGGGGCCTCCTCGATGACTTCCCCTTCTCTCCCAATCTCTCCAGGGGCCAAGTTCCCCATCAAGTGGACAGCCCCAGAGGCTGCTCTCTTTGGCAGATTTACCATCAAGTCAGATGTGTGGTCCTTTGGGATCCTGCTCACTGAACTCATCAGCAAGGGCCGAGTCCCCTACCCAGGTTTGCGGGGGTGGGGAGGTGGAAGGGTGGGGCGTCAAGGGAAGGGCTTCCTCCTGGTTTCCTCTTTGGGAGGGGCTAGGCCCCCTGACTGACAGAGCCCCTCCCTCCAGGCATGAATAACCGGGAAGTGTTGGAGCAGGTAGAGCATGGCTACCACATGTCATGCCCCCCAGGCTGCCCAGTATCCCTGTACGAAGCCATGGAGCAGACCTGGCGTCTGGACCCAGAGGAGAGGCCTACCTTCGAGTACCTGCAGTCCTTCCTTGAGGACTACTTCACCTCCACAGAACCCCAGTACCAGCCTGGGGATCAGACATAGCCTGCTTGGGCATCCACCACCTTTCTGGGGTGCCCACCAATCCCTTCCAATCTCCAGGGCTCTGGTCTCAAAGCCCCCAGGCTTAGAACCCTATAGGGTCTTACCGTGTCAGAAAAAGCAGGTTGCACTTGACACCATCTAGGGCAACCCACTCATTTTTAAAGATGGGACCAGTCCAGGCTTAGAGATCATCCCTCACTCTGGCCCCAAGCACTATTTCTCCCTTTCCCACTTAGGCTCCTACCTCTAGACTCTCTTCCCACCTATCCCCCAAAAGAAATGCTCAGACCTTGTCTAGTTATTTATAAAACTGTATATCCTTTCCCTCCCTTACCTCCTATCCCTGCTTTTTTACCCTATCATCCCACCCTGAATTCACCTCCTACTCAATTCTCTTGTGTCTGTAAGTTGCAAAGACAGGGAAAGTTTTTGCTGGATCCCTTTCCTGCTGGGTGGACACTGTGGTCCCAGACTAGGGTGAAAGCCCAGGGTGAGGGAGAGGCTTGCTGAGGGCTCACTGCCTCTCTGAATCATGTGTGTGTTTATTGCTTTTTGTAAATAAGAAAAGTGACAATATGAATCCTTGAGCCATGAAAATCCCTTCTGTTAGGGGGAACGGTGGCCAGAGGAAGGTGAGTGTGACTGCTTTGGCTGCCGGGAGGAGGGGGAGGCGAGAGAGTGTGTTTTGGGATACCCAGAAGTCCTGATGCTTGTCCTCATGTGAGTTTAGGACAAGTTGAGAGATGGATACAGAAGATAGGCAATTGGAGCTCAAAATGTCCCCTTCATGACAGAAGCGGCTTTCAATCTGTGTGCAAAGGGTTTGCTAATTCTCTCCTTGATTTCAGCAGATATACCATTCATCACAGGCACAAGAGCAGAACCTGTTAGGCCCCTCTTGACGGGGGCAGTGGGGAAGACCACAGTGGACTCTCTGTAGCTCCCCAAAAAAAGACAGAAGGGAGGGGAAGGGAGAGAGGCCTGAGAGCTAGTCTAGCTCATTGGATTTCACTCCAGGCAACTCTGCCCCCTAGGGGGCTTTGGAGAGGGTTGAAGGCAGTTTTGTTGGGTCACAAGGACTGGGGGCTCCTGTTGGCAGGTAGTGGGCAGGGATTGGGGGTACTAAACAACCTGCCATGAGCCTCTGCAATGAAGAATTGTCCCGTGTCCTTGCTGCCACTCTGAGAGACTCTGGCAGCTGATGTGCCTCCAAGTGGAAACAAAAGGAACAGGGAATGAGGGTTCCCACATCTCCCATCAGGAAATCGTGGACCCCTGACTTCCTAAGGGAATGGACTGGGTGGGGGGCAAGAGTCTGGGAGCTAGGAATCATGGCTGCAACTGGCAAACTATTACTAAGCGTTAACTCTGGGAAGGGCCCTTTGCTTGGCAAGGCCCCAGGAAAACAAACATGAACAAGACCTGTCTCTGTCCTGGAGGAGTTCACCGCCAGGCTGGGGAGAAACAGTAATAATAATAACTCACTTATTAAGTGCTGCATGCCATATGTGTTTACATACATCTTTTCATTTAATCCAGTTCTGAGTCTGGGTCTATGATCAGCCCCCATTTACAGATGAGGAAACTGAGGCTCCAGGGTTACATGATGTACCAAGGTCACACAGGTGCATGTGACCGGGCTGGGACTTGAACCGAGGCCCATGATCTTTCTGGACTCTGGGCTTTGGGAAGAGATCTTATCTGCCCCAGGTAGATACTTGGAGGATCCTCCTCCCTCTAGATATTGGTAGAAAGGTTCCCTGGAAATCCCCCCACGTTGAGTATCCTAGGGAAAGGGGACAAGGTGGCCAATGCAGATTGAGTTCCCTGTGCTGAGCCCTGTGCTGGGGACCGCTGAATGGGAGCAGTAAGATGAAGAGAGGCCAAGTGGCTGCTGAGAGAGGTGTCACAGGGGTGGGAGCCTTAGCTCTGCACACGTGAACTCAGGGGCCGTGGCTTCCGAAGAGCCCGTCTCTGGCCGACTAAGCTCACAAGAACCTGCCACAGGAGCCAGAGGCCGAATGTGTCCGCCTCCGTGAGTAAGCGGGTAAGCGCACAGCTCTGGGGCTGAAGTGCCTGGGGTGCAGCTCGCCTCTACCACTCACTCGCTGTGTGACTTGGGGCAGGTTACTAATCTCTCCAAGCCTCAATTTCCTCCTCTGTGAAATGGCAATAAGATGTTCAACTCGTGTTCGCCCTCTCTGTCACTACCCTTTACAAATTACATATTCTATGCTGGGTGTCCTGCTAAGTGCTCGCCGCCGTTGAAGCTTCACGGGACCCCATGAGGAGCAGGCTGTTGTATCTTCATTCTACTAGTAAGGAAACTGAGGCACAGTGAAGTAAGTAGTTTTAAGTAGAAGAGCAGGGGCTTGAACCAGGTCCTCTGACTCCAAAATCAGTGTTTTTAGTCTCTATAGCTCTCTATAGTCTTCTCCTGGGACCAGAATATTCTTGCCTCTCAAAGGGGGCTATGCCTGGTACCTGGACACCTATTTAGTTTAAATGAGCTAGCAGAATAGTGAATCTCTTGGAGTTTGTCAGGCCCTCGTTGCTCCACAGCAGAGACCAGAGCCACCTGAGCCTGGAATCCCTGTATCTACTGGTTTCCTACCCTCCCTCTGGTGCAGCCGAATGAATTCTCCCTTGCACCCCCTTTTCTGTGCATCCTTCTGTTCCCTTCTGATAGAGCACAATGCAATTGATTAGGCCCAGGCCTCTGTTTTCTCAATTTCAATCACATCCTGGCCCTGCCTCCCTGAGATTACAGGCGGGTCACCTTGATTGCGGTTTCCACCGTTCACAAAACTCTTCAGTCGTTTACAAAACCATCTCTCGCCTCATTCACTCCCCCACCTGGCTCTTCTTCTCTGTGATGCTGTGTAGATTTTACTGGCTTAAGACTCAGAGGACAATTTTATTTCCAAGTTCATGGTGGGGGAGGAGGACACCTAATTGACTAACGTTGGGTGTTTCACATGCATCATCTAATTTGATCCTCACCACGAGGCTGTGCGGCAGTATGATTATTCCCATTTTTCAAAAGAGGAAATGAAGACGCCGAGAGGCTACAACATTTGCCCAAGGTCACACAGCTGGATGGTAGAGTCAGGATTTGAGCCCTTGGACTTCAAAGTCTCATGCATCCCACTGTGTCATATTCCCTTATTTGATGGAGCAGCATGGGAACGTATAATACTAACCCAGAGTCAAGTTCAGGGAGGGCATGGTGTAGATAGGGGTCTGGAGTAGCCCCATATATGCCCGAGGATTATATTCATAAAAGAACCAAGTCATTTAGTAATTTTCACACATTTACTGATGTCTCCTGTAGGCTAGTCCTGACCAGGAGGCAGAACAGTAAATGATTACAACACTTAGGGGCAAAGTCAGTCTGGAGGCCAAGGGAGATTTCTTGGAGGACGTGAAAGAAAAGTCTGCCTTATGAAGCAGCCGGAGGGTAAGATCATCTCCCATGGAGGGAACAGCATGTGCAAAGGCTCAGAGATATGGTAGAGCAAGGCCAAGTCAGGCAAGTGCAAATAATTATGTATGGGAGGAGTGAGGGTGCAGATGAGGCATGGAAGAAGAAGGTTGGGGGATTAGAGGCAAAAAGCAGAAGGGTCGAAAATCCAAGGGGTATGGCTCCTGAGTTGTAGAGAAAAGTCACAGAAGAAATCTGGGGGGTGGCCAGGACTTATTGAGGGTGTCTATCCTGGATCCTGGCCAGGACTTATTGGGGGTGTCTATCCTGGATCCTATTGTTTCGGTACTGAGCTGGATGGGCCTACTATCCACTCCAGTAGTTCTCTCCCCCATTTTACACACACACACACACACACACACACACATTCTCTCTCTCCGCACCCCCCGACGGTCCTGCAGTGAGTGATGTCCATACTCCCTCTAGTGTCCATTCTGGGTACTACACCCAGAACTCTAGGAAACTTTGGGGATGGGAAGACTAGGTCCCTTTAGGAACTTCCCACCACAGGATGGGAGATAAGGCACAGTTCCTGCTCTCAGAGAGCTCACAATTTAATGGTAGTGAGGTGAATAGGACAGGCACAGGCTGAAAATGACGATAAAGGGTGTGTGGGAGAACAGGGTCGGGTCCTAACTCAGTTGGACAGGGGGAAGTCTGGAAGGCTTCTCAGTGGAGGTGTTGCTTCACCAGAGACTTGCAAAGGGAGTAAAAGTTTGCTTGATAGAGAAGAAAGAGAAGGACATTCTAGACTTGACAGAATTAAGTGAGCTCAGAGGCAGGAAATGGGACGTGCAAGGAGTTATAATGAGGTAGGCGTGACTGGAGTGTAAAATTTGAGGGGCGTTTGTGGCTAAAGATGAAGATAACCAGGTAGGCATGGGTCATGTCTGCCAAGCATTTGGGCTAGTATTCTAAGCCCTGGACAATGGGAAGCCACGGGATTTTGAGCAGGGGAGTAACAAAGTCAGATTCACTTTTCAGAAGGAACCCTCTGGTGACCAAGGTGGAGCTAGGATGGAAAGGGGAAGAGGCAGGACAGGGATACCCCTCTTGATGCAAAGAACCACACCAGGTCACACTAATAGGAGGGTACATAGCTTTGAGCAGGTCTGTGAACCATACATATCGACACATGTGATGTCACCTACAGACATGTCAGTGGGATCCCAGGCTGAGCACCCACAGACCAACAAATCCATACTGATACACACACAGATGCAGGAGCCCAAGGGAAACCAAGGACATACAATTACCTCCAGACACAGGCTGACAGTGAGAACCACACATACCATACCCTGACAGACCTAGGAATTCTCACACACACACACAACACGCACACGCACACGCACTCACTCACACTCACACACTCACACATACACTGTGTGGCTGTCAAGGGCCCTACCCTGCCCCCTTCTGTGTCCCCATCCCCCCTCCCACCCCCGTCCTTCACCACCTCCAACAGGAACAAAGCTGACCTTTGCCCTCTGGCCTCTGGCCTCTCCTCCCACACCCCCTGCCCAGAGGGAGGAGCTGTTTGAAGTCTGGGCTGCAGCTGGGGTTTCCTGTTGCCTGGAGGAATGTGGGAGGACTTGCGAGGAGGAGGGGCTAGCCCAGGAGGAGGGATAATGGGGGCCTAGGGGCCTTAGATCCCACTGTACCACAATGAGGAGGGGCTTCCTGCTTCCACGGTCTCTTGGGCCCCAGCTCTGAGCTGTTCCCATCCTGAGGAGGGGAAGACCAAGGCCATAATGGCTCCAGTCCAAAGGGTCTCTTGATCCTGGATCTGTAGCTCAGAGGCTTAGAAGAGTCCCTCAACCTCTCTCAGCCTCAGTTTCTCCTTCTGTGCGCTGGGCTGAACCATTCTCAAGCAAACCACACCTCCCCTGAGGTGAGCTCCAAGAGTGGGGCTAACCCTAGAACTTCTGTATTCGGGGAAGGCAGTGCCCATGCCCACCCAAGGCTCATTTCACTCTGCCCTTTCCGTGAGCCCCAAGGGCCTGGTTCCAAGCTGCTCTGACCTCTCAGTTATTGTCATTATTTTTTTTTAAAGATTTTATTTATTTACTTGACAGAGAGAGAGAGACAGCGAAAGAGGGA